TCACCTTGGTCCATTATTTTTTTAATTGTTTTTATTTGATAGGAACAATTTCCAGTCCTTTGGTCGCTTTAAGCATAAAAGCATAAAGATCTTTCCAGTGAGGCTTACTAAGAGGCATTTGGTCAGTTTGGAGACAAATGGGGAGGAGATGATTCACTCTTCTGTGAGTGATAAGCTCACTTGTGCTCTGTATGGTGTTACGTGTGTTATGTGGATCTCTTTTCACATACACACCTCACCTGCAATCATGCCAACCATCTGCAGGTATGATTGACCCACTTAAATGGGCAACGGTCCTCCTCTGAGAGAGACAGCGGTCTTGCTTTGTCCTCCCTCTGCTGTAGGCTGCTTGAGTACAGCTTGATTGTGGCCTCCTTCTACATCTTGTCTTTAGTTTTAATAAACCTTTTTTTTAGTTAATTCCACATTTTTGTCTTTGGTTTCGTTGTGTTAAATACTTTTGAGCCAACGGTTTGTAAAAATGGTAATCAGAGAATCACACAAGTGAGGTAAATGAAACTGCTCAACAAATGGGGAGGGGTAGATGCAACTTTTCAGAAGTCAACCAGTCTTGGCTGGTCTACCTTCCCACCATGTCAGGATAGTCTAAACCAACATGTTATGCATGTCTAAAAAAGTTAAGTAGGTTTTCTGACGGGTTCTTCTTTGTTGGAAAAGTGTTTTGTCTCTCATCCTAGAGACTTCTCCAGTCTGAGGAGTTACTTTATTTAATGCAGATGAGCTAAATCATCAGGCCAGGTCACTGCAGTCTACACTCATCTACAGGTCAGTGGTCACTCTTTCAGGAATGAAGAGGCTCTCATCCTTGACAGAGGAAAGTTGGTTTGGGAAGACTAAAGGAAGCTATGTTTGTGAAGAAAAAACATGTCCTTCGACAGGGGTGGAGGCTTCTGTGTCAAGTTGTCCACCTCTGATTGACAAACTAGAGGAGACTACCCATCGTGAATCCTCAGACAGTGAAAGGGATTTTGAAGACAATGGAAAGGGTAACTGGTTGGACAGTGATTCCAATCTGAAGGTGACCTTTAACCTGAAGAACTGATGTGAGAGTGACAGGTTTACCACATGCCATTGGGCATAAAAATGTAATAAATTGAAACATTAATTTCTCAAATTTTACATCAACCAAATTTAAAGATAAATTAAAGTTCAAGCTAATCAAAGAATAACTCTGTGAAAACGTTTCAGTTTCAACAAACACTTTTTTCTGAATGTTCACCAATGGTCTTGTGTTACTTTTAACTCCCGGCTGGTAACACGATCTGTTGCATAAATAATCAACAAAAGCACATCAAGCGAGAGACCAAGTCAATATCCATCATTTAACACCAGATTTATGACATTTTATTCTGACATGGTGAATCTACAGGTAAGTTTGACATCCCAGAAATTCTGAACTATGCACACAATGAGTAGGGTTGTGGTCAAAAACTGGTCCCTGTGGAGTTGTACCTAAAACTTTAATGTTGTCAACAGACTTTTTTCTGAATAACTGGGTCCTATGCATGAAAAGGCTCAGTAACTTGAATATTTAGGATCTATGTGGTAAATTCAGATAAAAGATAAAAATTTTCATCTTCTGTTGGGGTTGTGACATTTTGACCCTCTGATGACATTATTGTTTGCATATTTTATTTAAAGCAAAGTTACTGGCAGTTAAGGTCCCTGTACCCCTAACTTTGATGGTCACAATGAAAAAAGGGTGTGGTCAAAAAGGGGTCCATGGGGGGCAGTGAGACCCAACTTTTTTTCTGTTAAAATGCCTTTTTGAAAGAGTGGACCCTAGGGTACATGAAAATACCAGAGAAGTTCAGTGTTGGGGCGTACATGGTGTCCCACCCTAACTCACATAACAAAAAAATGAAAATTTGAGGGTGGAACCAAAAAAAAAACCCCTCTTTAATTACTAACACACTAACAAGAAGGTCGTGGGATCAAATCCTAGCCCRAGGACCTTTCTGGGTAGAGTTTTCATGTCCCTTCCCTGCATGCGTGGGTTTTCTCCGGGCACTCTGGCTTCCTCCCACAAACCAAAAACATGACTGTTATGTTAATTGGTAACTCTAAATTGTCTCTAGGTGTGAGTGAGAGAGTGAAAGGTTGTTTGTCTCTATGTGTGTCTCTGTGATGGACTTTCAACGTGTCCAGGGTGTATCCCGTCCCTCACACAGTGACAGCTGGATATGGGCACCAGTGACCCTGAAAGGATGAAACGGGTATAGATAATGGATGCATGAATTGTTTCCACCCAGCTGAAGGCCTTTTTAGATGAATTCAAAATTTTGGAAGTCTTCCAGTCTGGATTCAAAAAGTACCATAGCACTCAATCTGTTCTTTTACGGGTTTTAACAACATGTTTTTTCTTTGGATTCTGGGAACTGTGCTTTACTTGTGCTGTTAGTTTTAGCAGCTGCTTTTGATACTGTCAACCAGGGGTGGAAAATAAAAACATTTCCCCACCAGCCACAGTGGCTGGTTGAGAATTTTTTGTACCAGCCACTTTTTTCTTTCTTTCTGTAACATTGCATTTATACAATTCATGGTCCTTGGTGGCCTGTTCAAATTGTTTGTGCCTACAATCAGATAATGGCACTCAAAATCTAAAATTCACAGCAGGTGTGATTTTTATTTTCCTGCTGAAACTCTCAAACTTTGTGTGAGACTTTCAAGTTTGAAACGGAGTCTAGACGGAAATTCAACTCTGGAAGACTAATCTACCTCACCTGCTCCATCCAATTGCAGCATCACAAGCCCATCCGCATCCAATCAGCAACTGGCAGTCAGTGGAAAAAAGTGTCTTTTCCAATTGCTCTGTCTGCTCACCAGCTGAACGTCAACCTACAACCACCCCTCCTCAACCCTCAATCATCCGGCTTCTATGGGCTTCACACTCCTACAACYGCCACGACCAGGGTCCGGGCCCTGGGAGGAAAAAGAAAAGCTCCTACCCATCATCCTAAACAGCTCATCTGAGCTTACAGCATCTCACAGCTCTCACATCCTCTGCTGAGGTCCAAGCGCCAAACTCTAATTTCATTTATGTAAATAAACTTTGCTAATTTAATCATGTCAATAAACCTCCTAATTGCAGTATGTCTTCATGTGAGTCTTTCCAGGTTGAAATTACTGCAGCCAGTTTGAACAAATGGATGCAAAAACAGCAATCGCAGGCAGTTTTAGGTTTGGTCAATCAAACTGCGAGTGCAACATGTTTACAATTGTATGACGTGCACATCTTTTTATACATGCAAACCTTTGATAAATCAGTCCATATTGTTTCAAGTCCTTATGTTGCACATATATGAGTTTTAGGTCTAATTACCTTTTATCCTGTAATGAATCAACAACCTATCCAGGGTGTACCTGCCCTCTCATTTTGCTGTTCCTTCCTATTTTTGATCCTTAAGTTTGACCACATTGTACAGAGGGTCCTGAAGTGGTTGGTACAAGCTGCACTAAATAACAGTTGGGTTTGACATTGTTTCATAAAAACAGTACCTGGTATAAAAAGAAAGTTGTGCATTGGTGATGTGCCATGATACGGTTAATGTTTCAAGCAAGTTGTGTATTTTAGTTATTTGGAGTTTATTTAAAGTGGGGGGAATAATTATTAGAGCTCTTGCTGATTTTGCAAGTTTGCCCACTTACAAAGACATGAGCAGTCTATAATTTTAATGTTAGGTTAATTTTAACAGTGAGAGATAGAATATTAAAAAATCAGAAGATTACATTGTATTGATTATATAAATTTATTTGCATTTTGCAGAGAGAAATAAGTATTTGATCCCCTACCAACCACTAAGAGTTCTGGCTCCTACAGACCAATTAGATGCTCCTAATCAACTCGTTACCTGCAATAAAGTTCAGTCCATTTATCATTAAAGACAGCTGTTTTAAATTATCACCTGTAYTAAAGACTCCTGTCCACAGACTCAGTCAGTCAGACTCTAACCTCTACAACATGGGCAGGACCAAAGAGCTGTCTAAGGATGTCAGGGACAAGATCATAGACCTGCACAAGGCTGGAATGAGCTACAAAACCATCAGTAAGATGATGGGTGAGAAGGAGACAGCTGTAGGTGTAATAGTAAGAAAATGGAAGAAATACAAAATGACTGTCAATCCACATCGATCTGGGGTTTAATACAAAACCTCACCTCGTGGGATATCCTTGATCATGAGGAAGGTGAGATCAGTTTAGAAATACACAGGGTGAACTTGTCAAGGCAGCCGGGACCACAGTCACCAAGAAAACCATTGGTAACACATAAAGCTCCCCCTGCTCAAGAAGGCACATGTGCAGGCCTGCTCAAAACGAAGCACATCAATGTCATGGAGTGGTCTAGCCAGGCTTCAGACCTTAATCCCATTGAAAACCTTCGGAAGAAGCTGAAACTCTGAGTTGGCAAACAACAGCCTCAAAATCTTAATGATTTAGAGATGATCTGCAGAGAGGAGTGGACCAAAATTCCTTCTGATGTGTGCAAACCTCATCATCAGCTACAAAAAGTGCCCAACTGCTGTGCTGCCAACAAGGGTTTTACCACCAAGTTTTAAGTCTTGTTTGCCAGAGATCAAATACTTACTTATCTAGGCAATATGCAAATAAATTTATGTAATTTGTACAATGTATTTTTCTGTTTATTTATTTTCTCTCTCTCAATGTTAAAATTAACCTACCTTTAAAATGAGACTGTTCATGTCTTATAAGTGGGCAAACTTAAAAAAGGTCAGCAAGGGATCAAATATTTATTTCCCCCACTGTAATGTGTCTTGTTGCACATGCAAGTCTTTGAAATTCATGTTCTCATCCAAAACATTATAAAAATGCAACRTGTCAACATATTTTTTTTGTTTGTTTGATTTTTTTTTCAAGTGAGCTATATCATAACATAAATCTTCAAGGTTTTGCCAAAAAAAACTGCCATGTATTCACATGCTATGGCTGCAACATGAACTTGCACTTTTCTTTGGCACAGGCTATGGAATCTCAGATTGGTGACTTTTACAAGGATGTGGGAGAACTGGGAGGTTTGCAGGGGCTAAGCCAACCCCAGCAAGGCTTGATAACAGATGACAAAGAGGCCGCTGAGCAGTTGGGTGAAGTGGAGACCCGCATTGTTCGCCTAATTGAGCCCTTGAAGGAGAGACGTCGTATCCTACTGGCCTCCAAAGAAATGCATCAAGTTGCACAGGATCTGGAAGATGAAATAGTGAGATTCCTTATCTTTCTTATATTTATTTCATCTTGAATATGAAATTTTAGACCATTTAGTTGGTCAGTTAGAGGTAGTATACCGTAGATATTTGGGTATTAACAAAAAAGATTTTATCAGAAAGAAAATTTAAAAAATCTACCATGCCTTGAAGGTAAGCATATAACGCACCGACTTATTCCATGGTTCTAAACTAAAATCATCTTATGATATGAAATTATGTTGCGGCCATGTTGGTTAAAACTTGAATGATGTCATGCCATATTACAAAGTCTTGCAAGATACATTAGTGCAAAAAAATGTACTGAAAGTCACTCTACACTACTACCACATAAACTTTTGCTAATTTATTAAAGCTACAAACACATGATCAAAAAGAAAAAATCAGTAGGTCCTCTGGTTGGGTCTTCTTTAGTGAAATGTTTCGTCTCTCCTCCAAGAGACTTCTTCAGTCTGATGAGTTTCAGGTGAACTCAGCCTTAAAATCACTGCCTCCACCTGGACAAACAGGTTAGTCACATGCAAAAGAGGGCTATCACCTAACAATAGGCTTGATTAGCTCTGTTGTTCATAGAGGGTCATGTGCCCCATCACCTGACTTATTGGTTTGGATGTTGTGGTTCTTAGGTGTCGTGTTCCCTCTTTGTGTTGGTATCATTGGGCCCTGATTCACACCTTTTGCTCACAGGGGGCGGAGTCATACTTGCAATAACAGCGTTGTAGGAGGAGGACAACTGGACACGAAGGCCTCCACCTCTGTTTAATGGTGGACGGTTTTTCTTCACAAAGATGGCTTCCTTTACTCTTCTTTCAAACCAACGTTCCTCTCTATCAAGGATGAGAACATCTTCATCCCTGAAAGAGTGACCGCTGGCCTGTAAATGAGTGAAAACTGCAGAGTCCTGACCTGTAGATGAGTGTAAACTACAGAGTCCTGACCTGTAGATGAGTGTAAACTACAGAGTCCTGACCTGTAGATGAGTGTAAACTACAGAGTCCTGACCCGACGACGTAGCTCGTCTGTGCTGGCTCATTCTTTTGAACAGTGGCTTTTGTTTCCCCCAATGTATAACTGATCATAGTCCTACTATTCCTCTGTTTTTGCCGGGGAACTGGATCTTTGGGGTGAACTAATCTTTGCTGTAATGTGTTTTGGGGTTTGAAAGCCACTGGGATGTCATGTTTAGAGAATAAACGTCTCAGTTTCTCTGAAACTCCCACCACATATGGAATGACGACTGGTTTGGGTCTGGGTTTATGGTCTTCATTTTCACCTGGTTGTTGGCTGGAATCCTGTTATGGTTTCTTGTCTGCTTTCAGAAAAGCCCAGTCAGGATAACCGCACTGCTCCAGAGCCTGTCTTGTGTGTGACTTCTCTTTCTCCCTGCTTCCTGTGTTTGTGGGGACACTGTCTGCTCTGTGGTACAGAGTTCTGACGACTCCTAACTTGTGTTACAGTGGCTGATGGGGGTCAAACCACAAATACTGGTCTGTGTGGGTAGGTTTGTGATACACATCAGTTTCCAACCGTCCTCCATCCAAAACTGAGACATCACAGTCCAAGAAAGTCAACCTGTCATCTTTTACGAACTCTCACGTGAACTTTATATATTTATCCACCGAGTTGATGTGATCAGTGAAATGTTGGACTTCCTGGGCTTTAATTTTAACCCAGGTGTCGTCAACATACCTGAACCAATGGTTCGGTGGCGTCCCTGTAAAGGACATCAGAGCTCTCTATTCCACTTCCTCCATGTACAGGTTTGCAACAATAGGGGAAACTGGGGAGCCCACAGCACACCCATGTTTCTGCCTATAGTATTGCCCCCATATGTGAAATAGGTTGATTCCAGGTGCAGTTTCAGAAGTTGACAGTTTTTCTGTGGAAAAAGTGGATCTGCTGCTGAGAGTGGTGTCTGATTTTAATCTTRCACAGACCACATCCACTGCCTTATCAACAGGAATGCACGTGAAGAGCGATGTAACGTCAAAAGAGACCATAGTTTCATCCGTCTCCATGATGACATCCCTCACCTTGTCCACAAAGTCCATAGTGTTCTGTATGTGATGTTCTGAGCTGCCAACTAAAGGACCAAGTATAGACGTCAGATATTGTAAGTGACAGAGTTGATCATGCTGGCAATGGGTCTTACCGGTACATCCTGTTTGTGAATTTTGGGTAAACCAAACAGACTAGGAGTGGGCTCACCTGGGTATAGTGTGTGGTACAGAATGCGGTTAATAGCCTTGTCCTGCTCTAATTTTTTCAGGCACTTTATCAACTTCTTCTCTATGTCTGCCTCATGGTAGTCTTTCTGGTTCAGAATAACTGTGCACCTTCCTTTGTCTGCTGGGAGGAGGATGATGGTGTTCTTGTCCTTGCTGAGGGTGGTGAGAGCGTCTCTCTCTTCTCTACTGATGTTAGAAGGTAATGGTTTGGCATTGCTGAGACAGGCTGAAACTTTGTTCCTAAGTTGAAACGTTTCACTAAAGAAGAACCCATCCAGAGGACCTACTTATTTTTTCTTTTTGATTTTTTTCTACCTGGATTACTGAGATGCATCAGGACACTTCAAACACATGATTACACAGACAAAAACAGTATCACCTTAATTTCCTGTGTTGGGTATTAAAAACATTAAATATCTTGTTCTTGCTGAAATGTCCATGCTGAATCTTTGATGTAGAACTTTTAAATGTTCATTATGAAAAGTGGAATTACCTGTATGTTTGTGCATAAGCTGTGGATCCAAGAGAGGCTCCCCCTGGCCTCCTGTAAGGATTACGGCAGTAACCTCCAGAGTGTACAGCACTATCTGAAAAAGAACCAGGTCAGTACCAAGGATTTCATCTGCCTATGGTCAAGTGATCTAATTGTGCTTGTTCCTGGAACTTAGTGTATTTATTTCTTGCCTTGCAGACGCTCCAACGAGAACTGACAGGGAGGCGAGCTCGGATTGAGGAGGTTTTAGACCGTGCTGGAATTATTGCCTCCTTGAGAACTCCCGAGGTGGACTTTGTGCGTGAAGGGGCGGGGAATGTGCGCCAGCTGTGGGAAGTTTTGCAGCTGGAGACAGAAAGAAGATCTGTGATGCTGGATGCTGCTCTACAGGCTCAGCAGTACTACAGTGAGGCGGTTAAAGTGGAGTCCTGGCTGTCGGGGCAGAAGCTCCAGGTTGCCAGTGAAGAAAAAGGCACAGTATGTTATTCTAGTCTATTTTAATTCACTTTATTTGGTTCATCTATTTAGCACAAATTCACAACAAAAGTCATCTTGGCTTTGTACAAACAAGCCAAGATAAAATTTACATTCATAAATTCAWTTCAGATTCAGAATAAGTTCCAATTACAGTCAATAGATTCAATTCAGATTCAATTCAGTTTATTTATATAGCGCCAAGTCACAACAACAGTTGTCTCAGGGCACTGTAAACACACACACACACACACACACA